ACAATGATATAATATCATTGGATTCAAATTTAATTCCATCCATTACAGTAACCCACTTGTAACCTACTGTACAGCAGAGCGACATCCACGACTTACCCACCTTTTTTTTAAAAAAGCATTCAATGTTTGAATTTTGACAACATATTATGCAAAAATCACGAAAATCACGAAAATTCGCAAATTATTTTTAAGCTAGAAATATATAAAAATATTTCTTTTTAAATCTAAGATTTGAAAATGTTTAATAATCTATAATATATCCTAGAAAGATAAACAGTCTCCGTTCAGAATTGTTTTTCGTGTACAATGATACCTATCATTCCATTCAAACCTACCCTAGTCAGAGGTCCACCCCACCCCCTAATGTATAGCAGAGCGATACCCACTTACCCGCTTTTTTAAACTTACTGAGCTTAATGTTATCTGCTGTACAAATAATATGATATGAACTCCATCTATAAGACATAAACAATAAATGATTGTGTAGCATCCTTTTATTACTATATTAAATTTTATGCTCATCATTTTTTTTCTTTGCATCGATTTTTAACTTTTAAGCATTGGCTACTATGGTCATTAGTATTTTGAAGGGATGTTACGATTGGTTGAGGAAAATGTATATGTAGGGCAAGAATTAATCACTAAAAACCTGGTTTTCACCCTTTCAGGAACTAACAGTGCCAGCTAATGTTTGACCTATGAAAACATTTGTGACTGAGGTCAACCACCAAGCTATACTAAGTCCCTTATAATTATTAATTAAATATTTAAACACGTATAATAGTATAAAAATTAGGGATGAGCATGAAACCCGAATATCCAAATCAGAATTTGAATCAAATATTAATCCGGATGTCCCGAATTATCCAGATTTATGGATTTGCTTTTTATGTGACTTAAGGCCAGGCTCGTCGCTAGGGTACAAGCAAGCCATGCGTTGCTTTAGGGCGGCATAACATTTAAAAAAATTGAGGCGGCAAATTGTAATATTAAATTTCCAAAAAGACAGAAATTTAATTATTATTTTTATTCGCTTTAGGGTGGAAAATGTCTTACGATGGGACTGCTTAAGGCATACAATTATTTTTAATGCATGGTAAAATAAATTATTTTATTTTATTTTAATGAAAATTTAACAATGAATTAATACTTAAGTTTTATGATATAATTTAACAACAAAATTGAATTGAATAATTCGGATACTTTGGATAATCCAGATTTTTGAAATCTGGATATTCCCACTACTAATTAAAATCAATGTTAATATTTTTTAGATACAATAACATGACCTCCATAACGTATTTTTCTTTAGAATTTTTTTTTGTTTAGGATAAAATAATAAAATCTTATTATTTATTATTTTTAATTTATATATATAATTTTTAATATACTTACTTTTAAATTACAAAAATGAACAAAAACTATATTTAAACTATAATTATTTTTAAACTAAATTTGTTTCATCTAAGTATGAAAGTAGAATTTTAAGTTGATTTTTTTGAGTTTTTAGGCCAAATTGGTCAGTTACTTGGGTCATCAAAATCCTATTACAATTGATGATTTCAAAACATTTTATGAATTTTTTTACATCTTGCCGTAAAAAAAAATTTAAATAATATTTAATTTGGTAGTCTTCACTAAGTATTGCTGTATAGTGTTAATCAAAAAACCCTTGTTGACCTACAGTTTCCTGCTGTTATAAGTAAATATTTAGTAATGTACAAATATATTTTGGTAAAATTGTAAGTAAAAATGAAAATTGTAAGTAAAAAAAATATATGAGCATATTTGTACTTAATATAAGCGCATAAGTGCATGCACATTTAACTACTTAAAAGTGATACCTATGATGTATGAATGATGTTTATAAAGATAAAGAAAGTTTCAAGGGAAATATATTAAATCTGTATAGAGACGATAATAACCAGAAATATTTAATGAGGAAGTTAATAGTCTATAACTATAGCTGAATGAACAACTGAATTGATATATCAAAGATGAAAATTAAAAAATGATCTGGAAAACTAAAATAAACAATAACAAAACTGTTTGTTTTGATCGATGATAAAACATTTATTGGTCATTGGTTAAAACCACATTTAGAACATTATAATTTAGTACGCTCCAATAAAGAATGAAATCTAAGATATATAGTATAATACTAGTCAATAAGATACCTGATTATTGTAATTTAATTAATATTTAAATCTAAAAGAAATTAAACTCTTTAAGACTTAATACAAATTAAGTTAATCAAATGCATGAATGTAACTAAAAATAATTTTCTTATTATATTTTAGAAAAATCATTAAATGTAAGGCATTATAAAATAACCCAAAATAAGATTAAATGTAATGTTGTAAAATTATGACTTTTTGTCAAATTATGTTAATTATGTTAATGATTTTGACTTAATGCTTATAAAATGTGTAGCTAATTATAAAAATATATGAGTAGAAGAAAAATAAATAATTATATCATACCAAGCTTTAGTTTCAAACCATGGGGATAATAACTGCCGCACTTCAATTGGAAAATGATCGTTATAAATCTGTTGAAAATCTTCTCCGTGTAGATTCAGTTGAAGTTTTTCCCAAGCCGTAATCGGAGACACTAAAATTACATGTTAAGTTAATATTAAAAAATTTAATGAAAAAAATTTTCCTCAAAAGATGGATGATAACTTATACCTACTTACTTATAYTTGGGAAGGGCTAAAGTGCGCACTTGTTTTTTACCTCAAAAGCCTTCAATATAAGTACACATTTCTCGAAATATACACACTAAAATACCAATTAAAATTACCTAAAACGCACTAAATCAAAGATGTGAATACGTTTGTACGTATTGTTAAAAGTAAAACCTGGTAGACGGTACAGTTAGCTGTCAATTAATGTCAATAATTAATTTACCGAAACTCATAAAGTAAAAAAATTGCTTACAGCTAAGCAAGCTGCCTGCAGAAACACAGAATCAATCAATTTCAGTATTACCAATTTAAGTTCTTAATGATTTTGTTATAAATTTCAATTTTTTGTTAAATATTCCTGCGCAACAGTTGTCAAAATTTTATTGCTACTTGTTCCTAACATCATATACCAAAATTCAAATCTTATCTTTTGTTGCCAACATCAGTTTTTCGTTTCGTCTTCCTTATCCATAATAACACATTAACCTTAGATCATTTACTAATTTACTATATGATCTAAGACATTAACATTTAACAGTTTAACACCTGTCCTGCACACAATACGATAGTTCGGAGTTCCTTAGATCATATACAATATGATATAAGGGTAGTTCCCAACATGACAATTTAGATAGGTATCATCACAGTATTACTACTATTACTAGGGCCCGGATTTCAATGCATAGTGCATCTTTTTTTGATTGATTATAGTCTATAGACAATGCTTTCCAAGTATAAAATTCGTTTCATGTAACGAGTGTTTCAAATCTAAACATTTTTATTTTCCATTTTTAGCATTTTTATGGTTTTTAATGCATATTCGTTCAATATACTAAACAAATTGAGCGTATTTATTAATATATATTTTAGTATCTAAACTATAATGAATAATATTGCCCCAAAACATATGCGTGTCAACATCGTAGCAGTTGTAAATATATTTTAATAATAAACCTTAAATTATAATAACAAATTGTATACAAAATGAATATAAATGGCATTTTTAAGGTCATTTTTTGAGGTAAAATGCATTTTTTAAGGACATTTTTTAGAACCTATTTGTAAGGTTTTAAGTGCATTTAAATCCGGGCCCTATTAAAGAACCATGAAACGAAAAAAACGAATATGGTTCAATTAATATATAATGAGTTAATATAACTAACAGTGGTACTAAAATTTGTATACGTCGATTCGTTAAGGCGCTAGACTGCTAGAGCCAAAGAGAGATAGCCGCGTGACGTCACAAGATCACACGGCGCGGCGGCGGCGTATACTTTTACACAGGAATCGCCGAAGCGGTCTTGGTTGTTTTTTAAAATTTTTTGTTATATTCAATAAAAATTAAAAATTAAGACAATTATCATAAGTCTGTGGGTTTTAATAAATATTAGTGTACGTTTTGTCTTTTTACTAAACTTAAATGTAAGTTATTAATTTTTATTACCTTTATTAACTATGATATTAGAATTTAGAATAGAAATTGATGTAATATTATTTCGATATTTCATATGGTACATATATACTTTTATATAAATGATTAGATAAAGAAATATATTTATTGTTCTAAAAACTACAAATAACAATGTAAACATTTTGAACAGAATATTATGAAATTAAATGTTAAATCTCGAAAATCTTTTAGACCGTATTTCTTCAATATTTGGTCTTGGTATTGGAGCTATGGACTTAAGAATTTCAATTTCTTCTGGTATTGTTATGATATTATATTCGTTTTTTTTTTTTGCCAAATCGAGTACTTTTTCCATAATTTGTTTTCGACAATCATTATTAGTACGCTCATATACATTTTTTATTGTGTATTTCCCTAACGGTTTCGAGTATACCATTTTATCACCTACTATTTGTTTGTTTGTATTGTAATTATGGTCCAATATAGCCACGATGGATCTTATGTACATATCTCTTATTTCAGATGAATTCGTTTTGGCATGTATTTTAGCCTTACATTATGATAAGATTCCAAGCGGCCAGTATGCACAAAATGTTTTGCATGTGGCAAATCTTTTATAAAATCTTTGGCAGTTACAATTTCTTTTAATGCATAGTATGATTTGCTATCGGATTTTAACCATAATTTTTTATTTATTTCTTCATCTGTTAATGGATCATGATCGCATGATTTTGTCACTCCATTTTCTTCCCATTCATGTTCATTTTTTATGTGATGTAGAAGAGACGTGAATTTTTTAACTAATAATTGACCGTCACCTTTGCAGTTTTGTAAAGCCCACTAAAGATGATTATTAAATATTAATACTACTTTTCCATAAATATACATCTTCGTGTTTTTTTTCTAAGGTTTTCATTTTTTTTCATCAAACTTTYAGATAGGTGCCACACATCAAATTCTTGTTGTATTTCAGGATGTTGTGTTCTAATRTAAAAACGAATTCCTTTATGTCGATCAGYAAGAAACAATTTAATATTAAAATTTTGGTTTTTGGTCAGATCATCAAGTAATAATTCACAACCTTTTCTTTCCAAGTCTCCTTTTACCATACCTTTTTGAACAAGTTTAAAGTCTACTATTTTTCCACTACGTAAATCTATTACTGAATTAGTAAATACTACATTAGTAAATTACTATACCTCGTAAAACAAAATCCCAACGATGAAAATATKTCCGTTTACGGAGACGTATAAACGTAAAATGCGGTTCTTTAAACATTAAAATGTTCGTTAACATAGAATAAGTCTTATTTTAGATAAAAACATAATTAACCAAATAGAGTATTTGTATAGGCATGTCTGTTCATTGTTGTGACTACGAAGTTACTCGTATTTATAATATAATTGAATATAACAAAAGTTATAAATAAATAATCTAGACCGCGTCGGCGATTCCTGCATATAAGCATACGCCGCCGCCGCGCCGTGTGATCTTGTGACGTCACGCGGCTATCTCTCTTTGGCTCTAGCGTTTTAACGAATCGACGTATACAATTTTAGTATACGTAGTAATTTATCATGGTACCACCTATAGTTATAGTAATTGACTAACTATTAATTAATAATTAAGCCAAAATATTTTTTTTGTTTCATGGTCCTTTAATCAATTATTAGTACATACAAAATTAAGTAATTTTTAAGATACTTATAATTTAATATACAAAATATTAATTATATTATATTATTAATATACAATAATTATATAACTTTTAGATTTTCATATCTATCAAATCGTTTCTTTACTGTTCNATTGAATATAACAAAAGTTATAAATAAATAATCTAGACCGCGTCGGCGATTCCTGCATATAAGCATACGCCGCCGCCGCGCCGTGTGATCTTGTGACGTCACGCGGCTATCTCTCTTTGGCTCTAGCGTTTTAACGAATCGACGTATACAATTTTAGTATACGTAGTAATTTATCATGGTACCACCTATAGTTATAGTAATTGACTAACTATTAATTAATAATTAAGCCAAAATATTTTTTTTGTTTCATGGTCCTTTAATCAATTATTAGTACATACAAAATTAAGTAATTTTTAAGATACTTATAATTTAATATACAAAATATTAATTATATTATATTATTAATATACAATAATTATATAACTTTTAGATTTTCATATCTATCAAATCGTTTCTTTACTGTTCCCCTAAACAACACCTACTCAACCCGTTACACTATTAGAGCTGGAGTCCCACAGGGAAGCGACATCGCCACATTCCTTTACTCGATTTTCACTCATGACATACCCAAGACATTTTATACATCTTTAGGCACATACGCTGATGACACGCTAATAACCGCCTCCCACGAAAGCCACGTTACAGCCAGTGAAATGATCCAAAACCATTTAAATATGATCAGCTTGTGGGCAAACAGATGGAAAATCAAAATAAACGAAACTAAATCTGTTMAAATRACTTTTTCACTACGCAATCTCGATTCTCCACCTGTCACGTTAAACAATATACCAATTCCTAAGGCAAACGAAGTCAAATACCTCGGACTAACTCTCGACAAACGCTTAACCTGGAGCCCACACATTAAAGCTAAACGCAAAACTGTTAACTCTAGACTTCATATCCTTAGACCACTCTTAAAATCCAAACTTCCTTTTCCAATAAACTTACGGTATACAAATCAAAAATTCGACCAACTTGGACATAGGTATGGTATATAGTTATGGGGCTCTGCAAAGCCCTCTAACACCAATACTCTTCAAGCTTTTCAATCTATCTGCCTACGATTAATAACGTCTTCTTCTTGGTACTTCACAAACAAAAATCTTCACAAAGACCTAAAAATTCCTACACTTAATCAATTAGCAAAAGCACATTACTCTAAATTTCACTCCAACTTAAACTCTCACAGTAATCCAAGCAACTTTCTTCCACCTCACTTCCTGGCAATGTACGCAGAAGACTAAGAAGGCAGTGGCCTAGAGACCTGCTAAAATAAAAAAAGTAAAAAAATAAAAACCCACGACATCTAAAATGTTCTCGGTCGGGTGGTGCTGCTGAGTGCCTGCCCCTAAATGCTAAATTCTGCTATTTCATATTATATTAATTATCAAATTTGCCCATTGTACATAGTTGTATAGATTGTAAATTACTTAAATATATATATAAAAAAAAAACTTTTAGATTTTAGCTTAATTTTAATCTAATTAAATAATAATAATACCTATCACAATTAAAATAACTATTAATAAGTACAACTAACATATTAACTATAAAATATCTTAAACTTTTGTAAAAATGCATAATATTCTAATTTTTCTTTACTATAACATTTTGTTGAAGTTTCATGTTTTTATAAGCTGATCATAATTATAATTTAAATCAGGTATGGAGAAGTATTGGYACCATGGTTCCTCCTCCGGTTCTCGATACTAACGGAAAAAAAAAAGTAATACATTTTACTATGTTAATAATACATTTAGTTTTAATTTAAATTAAAAACAAAAACATTATAATCGAAACTAAAGAATTAAATTAAAACTATTTGACAAATTATAAGAATTATTACAGGATATTTAACTATTAAACTCCATAGTGATCATAGATTAGTATATTAGTGATTAGTGGGCAGTAGCTACTGAGTACTGGCTAATGCACTCTATTGCACATTTGCACTTATTGCACTGAGCCGCAGCCAGGAGCCAGCAATGCCATTATTAAAACAACAGGTCTTCGGAAGTTCGAAGCTTGTAGTGCCCCCGGTGGATTTTATTTTAACTACAAAATTGCTGTCGAATGTAAGCCACTTTTTTTCGTCTGACCAGGCAGAGTGTTATCAGTAAGTTATCACCTTTATCTTCTCTGATTCGTGAGGTGAACACGGCCGTTTTAACATTATATCATGATATTAAAGTTATTATATTATGTCTTATCTTTTATACAATAATTACTATTTACATTTTACATTTTACTTATAGCACCAAACTATCAATGACTGATCAGTGAACACGACTATCTTCATTCACGTGTTTTATAATTTATAATTTTTATATATAATATTAATTAATTGTCTTGAACTGTTGGTAATTAATAACTCATTGGAAAACCTAACAATAATTTTTTTTTCATATATTATAAGATTGTATAAAGTTTACGTGCATTTTTTCTCATAATAAGTTAATAGTATGTCAAGATTTATGAATGGAGTATTGAATAAAGTGCACAAAAGTGTTGTGAGTGTTGCTATTGGATTAACGGTGATATCCACTGGAATATTCATGTTAAGATCTTACGAAATTCTATTCGTACCAGTTGATCAAAGAGTTAAAACAAGACAAGAGGTCAATGAATTGTTAAACAACGAGCAACTACTGCATAACGAGGAATAGGTAATTGCAGTTAGAATCATATTATTAATAARTGTTTTCATAATTGGTATATTGGAAAAATCTTGGTAATTCAAGAGTTATGAATAGGAAGATAATATTAACTATAAATTAATTAACATTAAATCATTATTTCTTATTATATACTTTTACATGTTATATACTCTAAATTTATTTGAAGATATTATTCTGTATGATATTCAATAATTTAGCTGACTATTTTAAAATTAAAATTTAGGGTTTATTTGAAACATATTTTTTGATTAAATAGGTACTCCTTAACTTTGGCCTATTTACTGTGATATATAACAGTCAATATACCTTTTTCTGAATAATTAGTTATACATTTGTCAGTATTATTAGTATAATAAATTTGTATATACTCTACCTCATGAGAGAAGGATATCTACTAAACTCTTCTCGTGTGTCCCCACATTGCTTTGTCATCACTCATCACCATTACCACCGTTTTGTAAGCTAGTGACGAGCATCAACAGATTAGTGAGTAAACTCATACATATTTTTATATGTAGATTGCAATTAGAAAGATTAAATGTTTTGGTGGCGATGCTGAGCTCAGTCTACATGCACTAAACGGAACATTTCTCTCATGAGACAGAGTATGTAAATAAAATAATACATAAATTACACAAAATAATTTTACTGGTAGATTGTATATATTTATCTTAAAACCATTTAATCAGACTTCTCAAGTAGTATAAGTCTTATTTGAATAACTTATATTTTAATAATTGGTAATAATTTACAATATTAACATTAAAAATTGTCAAGTAAAAAAATAATAAGTACTAAATATAAAACTAAAAAATATCCACCTATAATTGAAATGAGAAACTTAAATTTACTTTTACAATTTATAACATACTTGAACTTATAAACTAATTTTCAGATTTAACCTCGTGAATACATCTAATAGTTGACTTATAATTATTCGTCTTGAGACATGTCCGAAGCATTATCTTCATCTTGATAACTTTTTTCATCAATTGATTGTTGAACAAGTCTTATGCGTTTCAATGGAGGTTGACAAGTTTGTTCATCATTATCACTATTCTCTATATGCATTCTAAAAAAAAGTACATTTTTGTAAATAAAAAAATTTTTATTAGTTACAAATTAACTACCAGTGTATTTTTGACAACTTACAACTCTGATATTGAAGGTAGTGGAGGTGGGGGAGACCATACACTTGGCATTGTTTCCTCATCATGTAATTCTGGTTCTTCAATTTCTAAAATTAGTTATTTATATGTATAAGTACCTAAAATACTAAAACTAATGTAAAGATTTTTTTTAATTACCCCTCATAATAACAGCACCGTCAACTTCTTCAAGATTTTCAGTTTCATCAATACAATTAATATTCCTAATGTATAATATTTTGATTACTAATAATTGAATGATATGTAAAATAAAAATGTTGATTAATGTGTTGCTCTTACTCTAATGAATCATCGGGTATACGAAATGGTACTGCATTCTGGTGTCTCCATTCATTTCTTGGTGGCTGTTCACCAGTAAACAAATGAAACTCTTGGACGTCATCTATAGCATAAATTTTTGTTTTTAAATATTAATTTATGATGACATAATATCAGCTTGTGTTTAATCCATCTTAAAAATATAACATACAACATTTTACGTTTCACAATAATTAATTAATATTAAAATTAAAATGTATTAACCTATTAAATATTATAGGCTTGTTTTGGTATTTTAATTTTAAAGCAAATTATGATAACTTTAAAATTTACAAACAAAGTACAGCTTTAAATTGCTCATACTTGTTTCATAATTTACTTCAATATTTGAAAGCCCCAGAGATGCCCTAGATAACAGACATGCCTCAAGACAAATAATTATAAGTAAACTATATTATCTTTAAATTTTATAATAGGTCAATTCAGTTCTAACTTTAAAATGAATATTATTATGAAAGTAAAATTATATGAAGATAGCATGCGGGTATATATAGAGGTGTACATGTTGTACTCTGAAAGTCGCTAAGACAAAACCATTTTACCGCCACCACTGCAGTGTGTGATGACTTTTATTTATACCTGTAACATAGTTATTCAATTTCATGCAACTTTCATAAGGTGGGGGTTGATTCTCCATGTTATCTTGTATAGACATGCCATTTGAATTTATATTCCAAACTCCTAGGCACATAAATAATTATAAACTTAATTTTATTCTTATAATATTTACTGTTATAAAAATGGTTATGCTTACTTTTATAAAAATAGGTCCACATTAATAAAATAAAAAATATATTTAGTATTAAAAAAATAAATCCAAAATCTTGCCAATATGAATTTGAACTAATTTTTTCTGAAAACAAAATATGTATATTTAAATAATTTTAACATATAAATTGTATCAGTAGAAAAGTATTCAATAAAAAATAAATAGTTAGGTTAGTTATTAATAAATAAATATATCAATACCCGGTGTTGGTAATATACCATTAGAATTCATTGAAAATGTTGGAACGCATAAATCATAAATTTCTCCTCCAAAAAATATTTCTTCAAAATAGCTATTATAAAAAATTAATAGTTAGGTAACAAGTATCATATTTTATTTACTGAAAATTTAAATTTAAATTTAATATTTACCCATCAAAACAAGAACTGCAATCTGATATATTTTTTGGACATATAATACCATTTTTAGATGTTCTAAAATATATGCTACAATTCATACATTGAGAGCATAAATTTAAACTAATATCACAATAACTATTTTTTTCAAAACAGTCATTGTCTGTAAGACATTCAAAATCATTGTTTGTATTAATAGCACCTTCTGGTATTCTTCGAGAAACGTTTTCTTGCATTATCTATAAATATAAATAAATTCATTGATTATTATAACAGTTAATATTTAGCTAATAAATTAATTTAGTTAAATAAATAGATTGATAAATTCTATATGCGTTGTTATTACGGGTTCAATATATATAGACACATTTTATAATATTCAGTAAGGTGAATGAATCGATTTTTCTCTATTCACTCATTTAAATGAAAATTTAAAAAAGTCTTTCAAATTGTGTTCATATTTGGTACTTGAAGATTTTGATTGAACTATTGAAAAATAAATTTAATTTGACATACACAGTATTAGAGTTTTAGATGGTACCAACTGAGGTGTTACTTTTTTTAAAACTTTTTTATACAAATATGCAAAAATTGTAAATGTATCCAATCCTATAAAGGCACTAGAAATAAATGTAAAATCTCAAAAATTGTTCATATACATTTTTTGTTTACTTAGACTATCACTGTTTCATCTATTCCTGGTCCTGTTTTTGATATTATTTTTAAAAAAAATACTGATCATTGTATAAGCACAATCATAACTTACTTGTTTAAGTCAGATCATGGAACTAATTTAAATAGAAAAATAATAGAAATTAAGTAAGTATATCACTAGGGCTAGGATTTATATGCATTTGCATGTTTTTTTCCTTAAGTCCAAATTGATTGGTTGCCAGATTTGTCCACGATTTGGCTTATTCTCGTTTAAATAAGACCAATTTTTTTTGCATATTTTGGGCATAATGCATATAATTGCATATTCATAGATTTTTTAGGATTCGATCATTTTTAACTAACGTTTTTTGATTTTTATAAGTTATTGTTAATTTTAAATGGTACTTCACGAAACCGACAGTTTTTAGTAATACTTTGTGTTAGTACGTCATGTGTTGCGAAAATGTGTGCGGACGTTTATACTTAATAATTTTAATGKTTTTAATAACAGTGTCCAGTATGCCGAAAGTTCAAAAGTGAAAGTGCCAAGTTACGTCTAATTAAACTAATATTTTATGCAATAATATGATGAGCTAATAATAAATTATGAATTATAATAAATAATACTAAAAATTTGTTTTTGCATATTTTGGTAAATAAAATGCATATTTTACAATTTTTTATTGCATATAAATCCTAGCCCTATATATCACATTCTTTTATAATTGTACACTTATTAATTCAAAAAGTGTAAATGTTTTTAAAAAAAATTACCTTGGGTCTATTTGCTAAAAAATCAACAGTTTTATGAATATGAATATAAATATATATTTAATATTTTTTAACCTCGACATATTCAAGGATATTTTTTTTTTTATTAAAAAATGATAGGGTAGTTTAATTTAATATTCCATTATTCTAAAGTAGATTTTGTTGTATAAAAACGAATTTAGAACGAGTGGTTTATGAGTTTTAACTTAAAAGTATTTAAAGTTTTAATGAGTAATTAACATATTTTGTTAGATTATCACTAATCACTAATCGCGTACCACTCCACTCCGCTCATAATTTTTAAAATATTGAGTGTTCAATTATGAAAGAACCACCCGGTATAAATTAATTAAAATGGGCCGAACGTACATATTTATATCTTGTACTATTTATGATTTATTATTCCATTTACGATTTACCCCTACGCAATACAACCCTAGGCAAGGATAGGTTTAAATGATGGAATCAAAAATATCCTAGAAGATAGAACTTATGTTAAGTATAAAAAAAATGATAGTTAAATTSTAAATACTTACCAGTATGAAAACTATTAGTGAACTTATCAATCCAGTTGAAATGTGTATCATGTTTAAATTGATTTCTATTAATATCCGTATGATCTTTAAAACAAACAAACACAATATATTATTAAATTATATTAACTTCAATCGCGTTTATTGTCGTAAATAATGAATTGACTTAAAACGAAATGATTACATTTTTATTAGGTAATTATTATTTACATTTAATTAGTCTAGACAATATTTTCTGATTAAATGTATTCTCAACCATTTAATTGAAATCGAATTTCCGATTTAATTTTATACATGTGACTTCTCGCGAATCCTATTCTTGAATACAGAAATTAATTTTCCTTACCATAAAGGTGGAGTATCTAGGTAATGGGTGAACGTATTGGTGTGTTAATCGTGTTGAATGTAATTTTTAGAGTRCACCCACACAATATCCAAATTTAAAATCTAAGACTTCCAGGTAAAATGTTTAAAAAGTTATACGTTTTTTATCGTTATCCGGCCGCGACTCAATAATGAATGCCGAGGTTTAGTATACTGCCGGGTTGCTCTGGAGCACTGGACCAAGTTTAAAGAGGATGAGTCATGCAGACCAAGGTCTTGTCGTGAACCTGTAACGACATGTCTCATATTGTGAACACACACACGCACGCGTCTTACACGCATACACTGGATAGAATTGAAGGAGGAATAGTGTTGCGTGAGCTTGTGTGTGTACGTGTATGCGATTTGCGAATGACTAAGGTGAACGAACGTCCCTCGACCCACTATTCGTGTGATCTGTTATTGTTACTCAATAGTCAATAATAATACCTAAACTTCATTATAAATATTATAAATTTAAACTTGCTCTTAAAATCCTGCATATTTTGTCAATATATTTTCTTAATAAACACGTAGCATAGATTGTAAATTTTTCAGTAAAAAAAAAAAAATTGCTCTTGCACTTACACAGTTACAATGAGAATACCTAGTAAGTATTGGGTACTATTTAGGTATGTTATAGACTATAGTAATATTAAAACATAATATACTTTGTAATAATTTTCATTAAATTATTATAAATCTTCAAAATTTAACTAACTTGTAAATGAGAATATTTGAGTTGGTACATTACATTTTGCAGAAACATTTAAAAATAAATAAGTGGTCGGCGCTCCACTGTTCAGTAGTTTACAAGTGGGTTATTGTAATGGATGGTATTAAATTTGAATTTAATGATATAATAATATCATGGTATATGAAAAACGATTTTGAGCGAAGATGATTTGTTATAGTCTAGGATATTTTATATTTATACTACTTGTATATTTAAAAAAAAAAATGTAGATGCCTATAAAATGTATTCTAAATTCGGTAGGTGGAAAAAATGGCCACGGAAAAAAAGCCCAAGAAAATAAAAGTGCAATCATTGTAAATTGTAATATTTTATAAAATGTGGTTGATTGTTGATTATACAATGGATTTACAATCATATAATATTTTTATTTCTGTGATAGAATAATACATTTTTAACAGTACGGTACATCAGAACAAAATATTAAAAATACAAAATATTCACGTTTCTGAACTTGTGGTAACATAATTATATAGATTGTATTGTTAACTATCGTCAATCACACGTACAAATCTAGTGTTGAATTAATAACAAAACACTTATTAAGGGTTAATTAATAATCATTTACTTGGTATAATTTAACTCATTTATTAATACAATATTATTAGAATCAATATTTAATACAAAATGATTTTGACATTATAGCTATTTTAAATATAGCTTATTTAGGTTGAACTATAAAGTTAATTCAACTACACGCTGGTGTTACCTTTAACTACCCAAATCACATGATTTACTTGTAAATTAACTTAACTGTACAATAATGATAATTAACTATAAAAAGCTAAGTTAAAACAATACAAAATTTAACCGAAGTTAAAAAGTTTAAAAAAAATTAATTAAATACTATATATATTATTTAAAATACGTATCTATAAATAAATGTAAATATATTATGTATAATAATATATTTTTTTGGGCTTTTTTTCCGTGAATTTTTTTTCCGGGGTCCTATTTTTTAGTTTGGGTTTTTTTACTGCGATTCTCTAAATTCATCAAATCAGATTTATGTTGTACACAACTCACTCAATCATTCATAGTATACAATACAATTTATCATAAAGTATTAATATAAGTCATTAATGACATCAACTTTACTATTACAATAATTATAATATAAAGTATACTCTAGACATTTTAAGTAATTACGAATAATATTTTTAAATTATAATTTTTGTCATTGTCATTAGCTCATACTCTTATTGTACCGATTGCGTATAGATTGTGTATTTTATTAATAAAGTAAAAAAAAAAAAACATTATAATTTTTACTAAAAATTGTTATTCTTGATTATTTAATATGTAATTTCATCCAAATTTGAACTTAAAATAACTATAAAACATCTGTGTTTGTATAGTTTATATATTTATTTTTTATTTATTTTGTCACAGAACTACTTACTTGGAACCTTGTTTTAAATTTTCAATCTTTAGCTATACAATTTAAACGATTTATAAATTTTTAACAACCGAAGAATTTGTAAATTTTGTCAAAATTTGAACTTTAAATGGTTATTAAAAAAAAAAACATGCCTATGTATTTATTATATTTTCTAACTGCTATATTATATCAACTTATGGGGAACCTTGCAATAAATTTTCAAGTTTATTGATATAACGGGTAACATTTTTTTTACATTTACACAATAAAACACTAAAAAACTGAAAATTTCAAATTTCTATAAGTAACTTACAAATTGTTGAAATATTTTGAAAATTTTATCAAATATAGGAATTAATAAAATAAAAATATGGTGTGAATTCCAAGTTTCTACAGTTATTATTTTTTGAATAACATTTAAATAAGAATACCAGTACACGAGAAATTGAGTGAACATCCAATATTGTTATTCAAATGCTCATAAAAATTTAATTTGACTTTCCGGTAGACATTTTTATTTGATAAAAGTAGACAAATTTATAAAGAACCTTCTATTGAATTTTCAAATCTTAGAAATAAAAAGATACATTTTTATCAATTTCTATCAAAATAAATTGCAAATTTTCGTGATATTTACGTATTTTGTCAAAATTCAATGCTCATTAAAAAAAAATTRTGATTATTTTTAATATTTTGTAACTGCCATTGTGAACTTATATTAAGAGCTTTGTATTAAATTTTGAAGTTGTTTTGCCCAACGAACACAATAGTATTGTCATTTAGAAAAAATTAATACTGGAAATTGCAAATGTCTATAAATAACTTTATACGATTTGAAAAATGTTGAACATTTTACTAAGTATAGAAAATGCTATTATAAACATTCAGTGAAAATTTCATTTGTCAACGGTATTTTTTTTTAGAGTTACTTCAATATCTAAAATCGATTTTCTCAGACATTTATCTTGTGTATTCCCTATTCCCTATGTTCCTTAATTGTTTTGGTTATCCCGGTTCTTTTGAAAACTACCGTGAATTTTACCTCCTCAATGCACCAACTAGATCAATGCTGGGCAAACTTTTTTTTAATGGGGAGCCATAAATTTTAAGAAATTCTAGTGGAGGGCCATAATTATACAAAAAAAATTTTTCTATACTATAATACAGTCCATGTAGATGTCCATGTCAATGGACCCTCGGGGTGCCGGATTAAATACTTTCGCGGGCCGTACTTTGCCCACCACTTTCCAACCGGAAAAGCTACCGAAGTTGAAAATCGAAACATTATTTCGACAACTTATAGTGTACTTAATACTTACACACACAAAAATAAATAAATATAAAAAYACAATTCATTGTAAAATCAATACATTCATATCTCTGCTCAGAATTTAAAAATAGATTCAAAAGATTAATATTTATCAACAGTAGATATTTGAATCTAAGATTAGGTTTTCGATAAAGTGGATAAAGCATAGATGACCGTATGTGTTTCTTCTACACACAACATGGGAATATTTTCAACAAACTAATAATTACTTAATACATATTATAATGTATTTGTAAACGGAAAGTTGGTCGTAAAAAATAACTTTAATATTAACCATGGACCAAGATATTAGTTCGTTAATGTCTAAACGATTCATTATTTGTGTTCCCCGTTCCCCGTGGCCCGTAGTAGTTATACGATCGAATCTAGATCAAAATATCCAAATTAATCCGTTTTGAAAAAATCGTGTTGATTTATATCGCCCAACTAACACCAATCATTCTCAATAACTAATTGATTAATAAAATTAGGATTTATTGGATTCTTCTTCGATTTTTTTATCTTTGATCTTTTTTTCACGATTTCTTCGGCTGACATCAGAGCTTTTATATGTTGCGGACAACTTTTGCTACCACTTCAGAAAATATTTGCCCTGGTTTTAGATTCTGAACGAAGTGATGAATGTATTGTTTTAGATTCTGAACGAAGTGATGAATGTATTGATTTTACAATGATGTGTGTTTGTTTTTTTTTTGTGTCGGTGTACAGCATAACTAGTCGAAATAATGCTTCGATTTCAAACTTTGGGGGTGGTTTCCGATGTAAA